AGAACAGAACAGAATAGAATAGAAAATATGCAATGGAATGGAATGGAGTGGAGTGGAGTGGGGTAGGGTAGGGTAGGGTAGAGTAGAGTAGAGTAGAGTAGAGTAGAGTAGAGTAGAGTAGAGTAGAGCAGAATAGAACAGAACAGAACAGAACAGAACAGAACAGAACAGAATAGAATAGAATAGAATAGAATAGAATAGAATAGAAAATATGGAATAGAATGGAATGGAATGGGAATGGAATATAATTAAGAATGGAATAGAATAGAATAGAATAGAATAGAATAGAATAGAATAGAATGGAATGGAATGGAATGGAATGGAATGGAATGAAGAATGGAATGGAATAAGAATAGAATAGAACAGAACAGAACAGAATAGAATAGAATAAGAATCTGAAAGGGATCTTGGAGGTCTTCTAGTCCAGCCCCCTGCTCAAGTAGGAAAACCTGTACTATTTCATAGGTTTTAGTCTCCAGTCCCCTAATCATTCTTGTTGCTCTTTTCAGCAACAAATCTTGCCTTTCAATCTGCATTGCCACCCATTCCACATTTCCCGGGTCCAGCTGAATATTCATTACCCCGCCCATGATTAAAATATCTGACAGCCTGGAAGCTCCCTGATCGAGCAGTCAGCCTCGCCTACTTTAGGGGGTCGACTGTAAAAGACACCAGGATCCAATAATCCCCTTAAGGATCCTTTTGAACACTCTTGAGATCTAACAGGGGTTGGGGGGAAATGCTTGGCCTACACAATACATCCGTTTCCTTTGGCAAAGCAGGCAGCACAATTTTACCTGCTGCTGCACTGATCAAAAATTGAGGACAGGAAGGAAGTCCTTGGCAGAAAAGGAAAGGCCTTTTGTATATTTTTATGATGATCCCCTCGCTTCTCTGAAGAAGAACGGCTCCACGGGGAGGACAGTGCAAAATTGCCTCTTTCTTCTGCGCAAGAGTGGGGGGGGCTCTCAATATGTATAGGAGCAAGTGGATTTCTCAGTGGCGTCTCTGACCCCTCTCACTCTCCACACCTCAGCTCTCTCCAGTAGAAAGGAAGCCCCCCTCTTCCCATATCCCTCTGGGTCACATTCAAGTTCTCTGCCACTTGGAAAGAGAAGATACCTTCCTCCAGTTGAGGATGGGAGGAGGCCACACAAGACATTTCTGT